TTTGCTTCGTGGAATTCAGAGAGAGGACTGGCTTACAGCCCATAAACAGTAACAGGTACTTGCATGACCTTGTTGAAGAGTGTTGACATGCACGAGCCCACCCTGAAAAGGTATAACAAGTAGAAGGGAACCACCATCCCTCTGGTGGTGGTTCCTGAGCTAGTAAAAACTCATGAGAAACAGCATATGGCATGCAAAGGTATTTACACCGAAAACTGAACTGTTGGTTCACTTTTCCTCAAGAAGTTAGTGCAATGAAGTAGTTTGTTGTATTGCTTTAGAAGGTTGTCTAGTTGATTGTGTTAGATTAAACCACTGCACAGTCACCATACTGTGATCATCTAGACACCTTTAGATGAGATGACTACTTTATCAAGTTTTATTTCACTAGAAAGAGCACTTGAAGCTTTATACTGTATGGCACTGTTCTACTTTTTAGCTCACCCTAAGCCTTCACACAAAAGACACCTTAGAATGGTACAAACACACTGCCTAAGGCTGCTGATGGAAAGCAAATTCTCAAGGACCCTGGCAAGAACATTACCCACTCAGATTTGCTATTTTAGCACTGCAGGATGGCATTTTCTATCATTTATCGTTACCAAACAAGAGATTTGACTTTCATTGCCAAGCTGCACTGTAGTGGCATACTGCCACATTGCGTGCCTTATACTGGTTGCTGCAGTGGAAAGCTTTCTCATCTCCTTGTCCAGTTTGCTTAGAACAGAATGCTATTTAATGCAAGGTCAGGGTCAGAAAGTGAATACTTCGGCCAACTGACCATCTGTGAAGCAAGCTGCCCCACTAAAAGTACTGTATAAGTTCTACCTGCAGCACTCAGACAGCTTAACTTCTTGTAAAAGTACCACGCATTTATCACAATGAATAGCCATCCTACTAGCCTGCATAAAGACACATTATGAAAAAAAACTTTCCTAAGTACTGAAATACAATTGACTTGCTTATCGAGTAGTACATGGCTGAGCAGTCTACCCAAAGCTTTTGAGTTCCCCATTAGGCTTTCCAACTTCCACCAGAAGCTGATGAGCATGGCAATACAAGAACTAAAGCATTAGGTTGTTCCACTTGTTGCTTTCCAAGGAACAGATGCTTCAGCTACAATACCAGTAGAAAGCTTGCCAATAAAAGCTTTGGGGGAAACTCTGCAGTATTTCACCACAAGTACTTTTTGCAAGATATTAGTTATCAGACAGCAGTTCAAGAGTCTGCTAGCAAGCTCAGTCTTCCTCAAAAAAGTTAAGCTTTGAGATTCAGACAAAGCAATAAAGATAGAATTAGCCTTGGACTGAGTTTGTAAACACCATGACAGTGATACAAGTCCACTTGCTTCAATGCAAACCTGAATCCTCTCTGACAATGTTTCTGGCTCAGTGTGATCTCCAGCCATAACATGTGGCTGTCCAATAGCTTTTACCAGAACTTGGCAGCAGTTAAGCCATCCGTTTCTGCACCACTTAACATTTTAATGTTGGTGTTAGTTGAAGACATAGCTTTCCAGATATGACACAGGTAACTCACTCCATCTTCTCAGGTTTGTTCTGCTGCCGCTACTGGCACTGCTGGGGGAAACTGCAAATGTCAGCTGCTACTTTCTGTGACCACAAGCAGTTGTCAAACCACAGAGGCTAGCTGGTGGATATTGTCTGCCACACTCCAATAAGCAGCTTATAGTACACGGCCTACCTTTTAGAAATACAATACTACAGTAATTCAAGTTCAAACCCTCCCATGCTCAAACTTGCATATTAGCAACGTGTCCTGTGTTCTGCTGAGAAGCAGTTAACTGATACAAGTTTAGACAGTGAACATAATTCTGCATGACTTGTATTACCTGCTCGGTAGCCTTCCAGCATACAGAGACATAAAACTCAATTTTACAGTTCATGATAGCCATGGATGTATAAAGCACAGATGCAGTATGTGTACAGGAGTGCACAACTGGAAAGGGAATGATCACATATTATAACAGATAGCCCTGTATACAGGCATGCACAGATACAAGTAAGGATAGTGGAGGAAGCAATGGTTATGTAGTAGTTGGACTAGGAAGAAGAATAGAGGAAGGCCACAGTACTATCCCAGTGTATGTTTGTTCAAGTCACCTGTAGGTCTTCATTACAACAGGAATCCAGAATTTTCTACCCCAAACAGCACACAGGCTAAGAGCAACCTGTCTCAAAACCTGTTTTTCTGCTTTCCTTTCTGCTGAAGAACTTCAGTTGGGGATTTAAAAAATATTATATTTAAACCCAGCAAATTTGTTCTCATTCCCAAGGCCATATCATGGCTAAGTCCCTTTTGTATCATCTCCCCTGGATCCAGCAATTCCAAATGCTTGGTCTCATGGAAAGAAAAGTCATCAGGAACTTAAGGCACAACTATTTCCCAGCAAGGTAGAGTTACATCTTTCTGCTAAGTGGACAGCTAGGGTCCTGATAAGGGCAGTGTAATGCAACACAAGTTGGCAAGTTCTAGTTTGTCCTCACACAGAGGCCAAACACAGGTTACAATTATTTTAGTTTATTCTTCCTGCCCTATAGACACATCCTGAAACATGGGAATAGCTACTGGACATGGCAATTTAGGAGCACCAGAATTAAAGAAGTACCCTCCCTCACAGCTTTAGATCTCAGTCAATTTTGCTTTTTTTTTTTTTAAAGTTACAATAAACTGAGAACTTAAATACCAGGAAATCCACACAGGGTTTTAGTCTTGTCTAAAGAATTTTAGTGACCAAGGCAGCAGCCCTTGTCTGAAACCTTCCCTGCATGAAGGTATATGAACTCCATGGTGTCCAGTGAAAGCAGAACTCATATTGCAGAGAATATGTGTAGGTCATTGAGGCTTCTTCCCCCTCCATTACTGCGTGTTAACCGACCAGGTTCAGTCAGCTCTGACAAAGTAAAGCTATACAAGGTAGTAGACTCTACCACAAGCTACAAAGAAACCCATAAAACCGTAGGAGATTGTCTTTCTCAACCCAACTTATCCCTGGCGGCATAAACTAAAAGGGTGCCCTGCCTCAAGTCCCTGTCAGCCACAGGCAAGGACCATGCTGTAGATATGGCATAGTTCTGTCCACTCCTCTACTACCAAGCCCTGTTTACAAAACTAGAAAGGCCAGGGAACATAGTAATGACTTCACACAGCTTTTCTCAAGCTCAAGACTACTAGCCTTCGGGGCAAGCCAGTCAACACAGCCCTTCCAGCTAAGAAGGAGCCTAATGCTACTAAGAAAAAAGTATGTTATATCACACAGTGAGAAACAGCCCTGTTTATTAGGCACTCAATTTATATTTCAGGTGCAAAAGAAAACAGGAACCCCTCCCCCATATACAACTCACCTTATCACTTCACCTAGCTTTGATCTCGCACATGTGCCCACTAGACTTATTTACACATTCTCTACAGGGTTTTTGAGGCTGCTGGAATCCTGAACTTGACCTCCTTCTCAGGGCAGATCCACCCATATTACTACATCTCAGACAGCTGAGAGTTTGCCCTCTTCTATTTACTTAGAGATAGACAAGCTGTTGTGGTTTAACATGGCCTACTCCCTGGTGGGGTGCTGTGAGGAGCAGGAAAGGCCTTGGCTCCGTGTAGGCACTGCTCAGCAATAATGAAAACATCCCTGTATTATCAACACTGTTTTCAAGCACAAACCCAAAACATAGCCCCACGCCAGCTACCACCAAGAAAGTTAACTCCATCCCAGCCAAAACCAGCACACGAACAATTGCTTACAGCGCAGCAACATTTCAGTCTGACGGCAGTTGTGCGCAGCAGTGCCAGAAGAGCGTTTGTCCTTTGGTTATCTTAACCGAGACGCGTCTTTGCTACCACGAGACCGTGAGAGTTACCGGCTCCAGTCACTCGCAGAAGCCGGGGCCTGCTCTCACGCCGAGGGTGAAGTCCACCTGCTGCTCCGGCCATCACCTCCCCGGCAGCACTCACCTCGCTACCCGCCAAACGGGCCCTGAA